AACATTTTTGGACAAGCATTCGAACGAAAATTTAAAATGTTGACATTATTGTTATTACAATCGTAAAATGATCAAAAATAGCTTATTTTATTATACGGATCATGCTGAATCAATTCTGATCGATATATGATGTATTAGTAGCTAAAACACCTAACTGCGCCATAATACCCATATCTACCTTATGTAAGATTACTTCAATTGTGCTTGGTGCAAAAAAACTTCGCCCCTTTTTCCTGCACCAAGCCCATGGTGTTAAGAAATCGCCCTAAATTAAAAATATTGTAAGCTTAAATATATTATTTACACCTCAGTTAGAATTGTTAGACGAACTATTTTTTATGATATTAAACGTTCAAAACTACCTGATCAATATCTAAAGTTTCGTCTAACAATTATGTCTCAATTAGTTAAAACAAAGTAAACAAAATCATATAAACTTAAATAACTTATCTCGAATAAATAGAACTAGTTAAGAAATCCAATTTTCTTATCATACTCGTCGAAGAGTTCTATTCCCTAAAAAATATTTTGTATGTTAATATTTCTTTCATTTTATTTGCATTTATCCGGATAAAAATGTGAACTCAAAATGATCGTATGCTGCTAACAACATGACTTGGTGTCTAACCAATCAATCTTGCTAATAATGATAAAGAATCGTACAATTCATATGAACCCCAGCGACACGAACATAGCAATGAATAACACCCATTATGGCTAACGGTTTAGGCTGAAAAGGCTGCGCACACCATAAGAGCCCCCACCGTAGCTAGGTGAGACCATATGCAAGTTCAGTAACGACATTTGGCAAATGGTTTTGAATAAAACGAAAAAGTTCCCCAATGAACAAGGTAAATGAATTCTAAAAAAAATTCCAATGCTCAAAAGTTAATGAATTGTACAAATCACAGGAGCCTTATGGTTTTAAAAAACCATATTTTGGGCTCTCACACAAGAATAATCGATTGACAACCAATGTCCTGTCAACAGGTGATTTTTAACATCATAGTTCATATTTCATATTTTCTCGTTTACTAAACAAAATTCACCTCTCTGTTTTCGTCATGTTCGTGTTCGCATTTAGTGGTATTGAACGTTTAAGCGCCAGGATTTACAGACACGACGTGTAATCTATATATCTATTATATAACTGATAAGGAGCATGGGTAGATAAACACTATGAGATAAACGTATAGAGATAAACAAATCTATTATCGTTATATAATGCACGGCTGTGTTACACAAGGAGACAAACGTTAATCTGATTGGCTACTGCTATAACACATGATTCCTATTTTTGTTGCACAAATTTGAACATAATACGATATATCATATTAAAAGTAGTAAATCAATACAGGTATACCACGGGTCTTATTCAAAAAATAGGTCAACGGTACATTAAAATTAGCATTTGCTATATATATATTATATATAATAATTTCTTTGATTTTAAAAAATATTTTATATTTGAATCCGGAGCAATGCGCGGGTTAGATGCTAGTAAGATAAACAATATACGATAAAAATTAAATCTTATTGGTTCTTTTCCCCGACTCTGCAGCGTGTCACCATAGCAGAAGTTCGTTTAATTGGCTAAAATTTGAATAAATATGTATATACAATATTATTAAATAGAATACAAACTTATAACAATGTTAATATACAGTATTTTGATTATAAGTAACAGCACTCATGTGGACATGTCCTGATCTGAAATTTCAGTGTGCTCTAGTGAATGAAATAGATCCAATCACTGCTGCAAAAATCGTGGGCTTAGCGTAACAACATTGCCACTAAATAATTAAATGTAAAAGCCCACCTGTGCGATAAAGATTTTAAATTTTAATTTTCAGATATTTTTTCATATCAAATTCAACACTGATATTAAAAAATTAACGTTAATTAGTAACGGTGATAATACCCTGATTCGTGTATGACTGATCAGGATATTATTATTACTAATTAGACTCTTGTTAACGTTAATTATTAATGTGGTATATAAATTTTTGAGGGCGTATTTTTTTTAGGGTTAATATAGAATTTAGGGTTTTTAGTAGATATATATATATTATTAAAGTAGGAATCACAAATTTTAGCATCAGTTAATTGTGGTATATAGGCTGATACAATTATAATTTTTTAAAGAAGAAAAAATTTTAACATAAAGTATAAAGATGGATAAATCATATACTAATCGTTTAAAACTTTGCCTTCAGTCACAGAAAACTCATTGGCTAATCATATTTCTCGTGACAATGGATTTTTTATGCTTCTTGACGATGACAGCTATATCACTTCTTTGGCCAGAAATTGAACAAGAAGAACATTGGATATTTGAGTCATTAATAATTGTTGCATATATTATAGATGCGACTTTCTTACTAGAAATCTTATTAAATTTTATCACATTTGGTCTGGCGTATTTCACAAAAGAACCACATTGGCTTTTACATATATTTGATGCTTTTCTGGTTATTACAACATTTCTTTTAGAAATATTCTTACACGGAAAACAACGAGAAGTTGTAGGATTATTGATCATATTTCGATTTTGGAGATTGATTAAGGTGGTTGGTACTGTTGCCGTTGGTGTAGGTACATATGAAGAAGACAAAGAAAAAAATTTAATGAATAAAAATAAACAATTGGAAAAGGAGTTGGAAAGGATGGTAACAGTTGTGGGGGAAATCGCTAAAGAAGATCATTGGAGCAATGAGAGAATGGAAAAGGTTTTTCAAGGAAGAGATGTTAAATAGGTCGTTGGATTAAAATAATTGACGAGGTTTTTTTCATAAAGATGCATACTGTAATATTATTTGAGAAATTACCGGAATTCATTCGAATTCACATAATTAAATTGTATATATTTAGATTTTTATTTTTATTGATAGTACGTATATACTATATCTAGATTTGCATGCAGTATCTCAAAAACTAACTAATTAATTGGTATATATTTTATAAAGAAATAAATTTAAAACTTGGAGACGTTTTATAGGGCTGGAGCCTTACATATTAAATTCTAAATTTAAAAAAAAAAATTTAAATATCACCAAAATAAATATGAATATGATAAAACTCTAATTCATTAATATTTTACAGGTTTATATTAATGCGCATGTGTTGTAAATGTGTACTTTCTCCAATTTTTGTAGCCTATAAGAAATCTACTGAAAGAAGATTTGTAAGAGCAACAAATGTAAGATCTATAGCAAATTCCTTGTCACCAATTCTATTACGGTTTGTGATAATGTTAAGCCTCGCGATTTGTGAATCATAATTATTGAAGGAGTACAGGTCTCTAATTTTTCCTTCCCAAGTATATTTGATTGGACGAATTGATACTAAGGTTGCCTGCCGTAATGGGTTTAACAAGGTTGTAAAGTTGCAACCTTTCGTATTGAAGTTGTAATTTTTTGCCGTAATAGGTGTAATGGTCGTAATAGGTGTAATGGTTGTAATAGGTGTAATGGGTGTAATGGGTGTAATGACTGTAATGGGTGTAA